ACTAGTCTAGTCACCTTCCACCATCTTTGGCTTTTATACATAAATCTGACTAAAATTGTTCCAAAATGATGGTCACTGATCACATTAGACAGGTAAGTCACATTATATGTAAATTTCATTGAAACCGTACAAAGGTCACGTGGCTACGAAGGACACATTGTCAATAGCACAGGCTTGACAGTACATGTTACGTTTTGTGGGCGTGAGGGGTGACAACCATTTAAAGGATTTCTACATATAAACTCAGACTAGTATTACTAGTCTGAGATATAAACTAGTACATTTTATTTGGGAGAGGTATGAACGGCCGCAACACAAATCTAATGCACTCCTGGCATCGCAAACAATGCATTTTTTTTTTACTTGAATAATAAAAAAGAACTGTAGGATTATCTATCAGACATTTCTTCAAATTACTCAGAATGCAGACAATCACGTTGATTAGATATTCTCTGTACAAACACTACACAGTGTTGACATAATACATCTCCGACACAAACGCCATGGAATTCTATAAGAGGCACTCAGTTATTCAAGTAGCAAGGCGTACGCTGTATCCAACATCACAGAATGGTTTCAATTGATGCGTGCATAAAACAACAAGCGGCTGTTTTTTGTTAAAAAAAGTTTATGATCGAAACTGAAAAAGCCATATATTAGTATATGTACATTTGTCAAATAATATTTATTTAAACTAATTGTAATTGTTTTTAAATGACGATAATAAGGCTGAATTGTTTGCATATGAATGGATGAGGACGGAACCGATGTTACACTACACGTATATTGCCAATGCAATGTATGCGCCTAATGTGGACTAATCACAAAAATAACCAATATTTTAGTAAGTAAATAGTGTGCAAAATCCCCCCCCCCCTGATATAGGTGGTGGGTATCAGATGTTAGGACGTCATTATAGTGTATACTTCATATTTGACATGGAAATACAAATACCCAGCGGTATTATATGGGGGAAAGAAAGTTTGATATATGCCTATACGGTTAGCCTGTAACATAAAGGTCAACTGTGATCAGCTCAAAGGTATTTATTCTGGAATACGGCTTTACTATTTAATCATTGTACGCTTATACATACTCACGGGTCTGGGCGAATCCTAGTGCAATAATTTGTTCCAAGGGAACTTGTGGTAAATTCAAAAATATTTAGGGATAAGGTAATGATGATTAGCACGAAATGTTTTTCCCCCATCGAAATTAAATATTATTCGATACGGCCACCGCCATCTTGTCGCCAACTCTTAGAAATGTAAGCGTGGAAATTGCCCATAACAAATCTCAATTTTATTACCTAGTATATCATAATAAAATTCACTATTTTTAATACACCTATGACATTTATGGTCGTACAATATCACTTTTGTCAGTTCTGCGCATGATCTGCTTGCACAGGAAAACCGCAACATTTGCCAGAAAACTCTACGACACACCAAATAAACATACGATGCATGCAAAGCTTAACTACCGGTTTTTACGTATAATCCTGTGTATACACTGAACACACTGTTTGCATACGTATGTTCATGGAGATAGAATGATAAAATATAGTTTCGCAAGTTTTTGACCACTTTTGATAACAGTGCCCGAGCACAGGTAGGCCGAATAGCGCCACCTATGGCAGCAGGAAGGTCAATAGTCATCGTATCCAGGTATTTCATCAAACATACAAATACACTGTTCAATTTGAATTAATAGTACGTACTCAATAATTATTTCGTCATAAGAATACTACTGTTTTAAGATAAAAAGAAACAATGAATCAAAAATCAAGTTATGTAAATTGCATTATAGAAGGAAATTTCCATTTGAATACTATTATAATAATGAAAAAATATTATCACTAAGCTTTTTTGAAAATGTAACAAAATCAGAATTAATGTAAATGTCCAGGCATGGCCAATATGACCATTTTCTAAGAAATTTCAGACTATAACCTTGTTGAAAAAAATGTTGTTTCACAGACGTGGCATTAATTTATACACTAACCAATTCTAACTTAATCTCATGCTCATTTTAAGAATTTAATTAAACTTTTTTTTGTATCTTGTACACGTTCTGACCGTAATATTGAAATAATCACACCGAAATAAAATGCTATAATAATTTATAATTAATTCAATATATGCCAGACTGTTTAATTGCAATGCTCAATAAATAAATGGTTCTTTTATTAAGTCACATTCAGCCAATATTGACGCAATGTGCATAGTAATATCATGGTGTATCTAGCTGTTCCCGTCGATCGATACAATGATAGCTTTCTTGTGACAGGTCTATATCTGTGTTTGATTGGAGATTGTTATGCTCTATTAGTATCACGATGGCTGGTTTTTCACAATTGCATTAAACTGATTAAATTACCACTGCTAACAGTAACGTATCACTGAACAGAATGTTGATATGACGGTTTTACATTTATTGCTGTGAATTGTGGTCAAGGTGCCCGGTATTCACGGTGATGTTACAAAACAGTCAGCCAGAGGGTTTTGACCTGGTGACAGCGCCCCCTCAAGTTCGCTTGTAAGAATAAATGTCAAGGATAATGAGAAATTGTGGTATTAAATTCTTCAATTGATTCCAGTTGAGTAATTTACTCTGTATTTATAATTATCTTTATTTATGTTTTGAGTTTTTGCATCCTCATCATTACTGTTATAGAGTATTTGTATGAAAACATAATTATATAAAATACATGCGCAATAACGCAATTTTGCTTGTCTTTTATTTAGTAAATATTTATCACTAGTAATTATTGAATATTGCTAGAACGATAGCCTACCATTGAATCCGATGAAAACCACTCAGTTGATAAGAATCTCAGTTACAGAAATGGAATAGAACTGGAAAACCTTGCACGCCCACTCGACACGCCCACCACAAGCCACATTTTATTAGACCATAATACGATATTGTGAACATGAAAACACATATCATAGATGATTATTATCAGTATTGATATATATCACAACATATGATATGATATTGTCGGGATATACACACGTGATCACGTGAGGTGTCACAGTCGTTACCCAACACGCAATGAACTCAATAGTAAGTGTCTCAATTACAGGGCGATTCCATTTCTAATCGCGGGGAACGTATCCAGGAAGCGAATGAAACTATCAAGCATGTATACAAACTTTGTAATAAAAAAACACATATTTATATTTGTATTGGTACATGACGAGTGTTATCAGGTAGGTGTCAAAAAAAATGTATTTCGAACAAATATTAAAATCATTATTTTTTCCATAGGATATCGAATATTACAATCTTTATGTTCTCACCGAGTATGACCCATCTACACACAGGGCGGGTCACAGACACCCCGAAACACAAACACACACACACACATATATACAATTAAATATGACAACATCAGATTTTAATCAGATTGATTGAACCAATCAGTCGAGTGCAACAACAATAAATCAGCACCTGTTTGTAAATAAATAGTAGATTCAATAGTTTGCCGTTGTTTGAGTACTTACTAGCCAACATGATTTATCATATTAAATCTTAAAGAGCATTATCATATTAAATAATTATCACATTATATTATTATCATGACGTTCCTTATTATTTTGTTATCATGATGTGCGATATTATATGATATAATACTTATAATATTCTCTTTCATATTATATAATCCATAATCACAATATTTCTTATGTTCTCAATCATATATCACTATCATAATGCTCATCATACTTATATCACAATGTTCATTTCTATATTATATTCTCATCATAACATTTCCTATCATATTTTAATAAGCCACGTTAATAATAATTAGGGTCTATATCATTAATATAAGATTAGAAGTTAGTTTTATTGTGACTTATACGTGACGTAACTTTCCTTTTTTTTTTTACATATAATAAGAGGTTCGTACAAAGGGTAAACGTCGTTAGTAGTTGCCATGGCAAGGAGGACATAAATCATTTATTTTGGTTGGTGTATCAAACTATTAATGGATTAATCCTGATGTATTTGGCCGATTATTTATATTTTTAACCAATTATGAATAATATTGTGATTATAGACCAGAATTATTTATAAATAGTGTTCAGTACTATCTGGTCACGTGTCAGTGCACTGCTACGCATCTTCGGTGGCCAGGGTTCAATTAAGCGACCGTCGTCACGATCTCACCACTATAGGGAAGGCCAATATGGAGTGCGACGACAATTTGTGTTACTTTTCATTTGATTGCCAATTAAATTTTGTCACGAGCGTTATTAATTTCACCGAACACATTCATTTTACATATTTCTATATTATTTTAAATAATTTTAATAAAAAATAATGCGATCAAATCATGCAGGTTTTATTTTGTGAAAGGTGACAAAAATGTCGACTTTCTTTGGCGCTGAGGGCGTTCATGCATCGCACATTATTTGGAATAATTACAGCATGTTGAGATTTTTGAACAACCAGGGTTTCGTCTCAGATGTTCCTCTGGTAGAAATCGAACGCTGTCAATGTGTACTTCAACACGCGTTATTGATTGAAGAATGAGTCTGGCCAAAATATTATGTGTTTACCGACATCTGAAAGTTTGAGATCCCATATTAATTAGTTCGAGCAAATGCTGACACTGCATGAAAAAACATTCAAAACACAATAAAAGTTCTATAATTGGAATGACAGACTGAACAATATATATATATTGATATTTTAAAAAATAAATAAATATAGGAGTGTCTATTCAACCAAATATATGAAAAATATAAATGCTGTTCATTCATTTTTTTCAAACTTTGTGGAGTATGTCTCCTTATATATTTTTTTCATCTTCGTATCATGCTAAACTTTTTATTGTGAAAGCAAGAAAATGTGCATACCACTTACATATAGTATTTGGAGGCCGGAAACGTCATCTTGCAGAGAACGCAAATGCAAGAGTCCCTCTGAAGCTTTACCCTGACCCCCCTATTATAATTACCCAGTCGAGCGTTCCACGCGTTTATCGCGCCCGACACAAAGCGTACAGTACAGAAGATCACAGGATTCCTGCGATTTTTCGTGTTTTGTATCGCCGATCGTCCGAATTGGGAATCGTCTTTGGCTCTGTGGAGAGCGATTATCTCGACGAACTGATATCTGCGATTACTGCGACTATACAGCGTTGAAATTCGACGCATTTTCATCGTACAGGTGGAAGGATGAGTACGCCTGGCGAAGGTGGTGGCGGTGGCCAGGTACGTTTCACTTTACTCTTGGGTCGTGTCCGTTTTTACGTTCACAGCTTCGTAAGAAAGTACTCGTTAATATTTTTAGTACAGCGCAATTTACACTATCTATACTAATTTAGTGTACTACAAGCAGCTTGAAATAGCACGGTTTCAGCGCGCATTCTTTCCTAAAACGCATGATAATAAAAACAGGGGAGGGGTTGTAAAATCGTGAATGGAGGTAAAAAGATGGCCGCCATGTTGAATAGACAAATTTAGTATTCATTGCTCGTAGAACATAGTCTACAAAAATTGCCAGTTAACGGGAATCAAATGATTCGTTGTCTCATTTATAGCAGTACAAAATTTCAATATCTGCCCTTTGCTCTCCGAAAATATTGTACGAGTACCGATTTATGATTTTGACATCGAAAGATACATAATGGGGTGATGTGACCTTGTCGAATCTAAATGACATCAGCCTAATTTATTTCACTCCTAAAGTTGTTTTGAACATGGGCAACGCTAGCCGCTCCCAACGCGTATTGTGAGTGGGCCGAGTACACTTTTCTCCGTATTTGTAGCGTGTTTTACGCAATGAGTTTATCTGTAGAGACGCCCGAAACGATCACTGTGAACAGATTGTACTATAACATTCCCCCAATACACACAATGTTGTGGCCCTGTAATCCACGTTTTGTGGGATGGGCTCGTTACAATACAGAGCGCGGACAAGCCCATGACCGTATTTTCAACCTATCCTCGTTTAATAATTCATGGTGGAATGCGATATTTTACGTTTACACCCCTGCTGTCATTCAACCTTGCCAAAGAAATCGAAACGCACCTTCCTTGCTGTAAAGAGATGAAATTGAGCTCTATAATATAATGTTGAACTCTATGCATCCAGATGAACGTCGTTCTTGATCTTTAACCCCAGTTTTGTAACTATTGAAATGCTATCTCTATTAAAAATGCAATGATGACTGTTGTGATGTGCATATAATTTCCTGTACTGGGGCCATTACAGAACAGCTGTACTGTACTGTCTTACCTTCTGGAGAATATAAACTGAAGATGGTTTACTAGATCATGTGTAATTGGCTGAAAATTTAAACTCCAATTCTCAAACTTCTGAGAGTAAAACAGAGTGCATACATTAAATAATTTTATAGTATGTCACAACATTACAATACCATGCTTTAGTTTCATTTAATGGTTAAAATCTCTGTTGACATTTAGTATAAACTGTACATAATTCTGTTGAAGATATGAACAAGAACTGTTCATATCTAATGTCTTGACGTTTGATAATTCAAGTCTTTCTAGCAGTGCAAGTAAGAGGCCATAGCGGGGGAACACTCAACCTAATGATATCTAATTCTGTTCAATTACTGTTACAGTTAATTTTATTAATTGGTTTTCATATTTGAATTGGGGTAGATTTGTTGTGTTTTCTATTTAGTTGCATCCATGACTCACAATTAAATACTGTGAAATTGTGATTACAGTTTCTTATAATTTTAAATTCACTGAATCATAGAGGTTCAGAATCTTGCATCATGACGTAAAGGAAGGATGTTGAATTCCCATATGCAAGTGATTCATTTGCATATCATTATAGAATTTTATACTTGTATGGTTTCCACAACAATTGTTTTGTTTACACATTACAGCATTATGCTAGATACTGCATTGAGATTAAGTCATCATTCCCTAGTCACATGCTGCTGTTTTCTGTTTTTGATGAATGAGAAGAAGCGTTGTTAGGCAATCTAATTTCACATAGAATACTGTCATGAGCGATGTGTCTATTTGGTCTGACACTTTCTTGTAGGAATACTTGGGGATAACAGTAGGATATCTGTGATGGATTTGGTAGGTTGATAGTTGACATGTACTATTTACCCCCTCACCCTTTCTCTATTAATTACTTTCAATGTTTTTTTTTTAGTCTTAAATGCACATGAATTCACTTTATTCCTTAACATTCATTTTTGGCTTGTTGGCTTCATTGCTGATTCCAGCATTGGTGTTTTCATTTTCATTTTGAGGATTTCTAACCTGCATGGTTGTATGGTAGGAATATTTAATTTAAAAAAAAATTAAATTGGGACAATAAATAATAAGAATAATATAATATGTATTAAGTTGTATATTTGGGATTTTTGAAGTAAATAAATGACATGGTTTTGTTTGCAACAAAGTGGTTAATTGCAGTCTTGTAAGAAAAAAAGGATGCTTCCTTGTTATTGGGGAAAGTTGTACTATATTTTATTTTCCAAGCCATATATTTTTTTCAGGAAGTGTGATTTTCCAATGAAACACAAATTAACATCCGTTTAGCGGAACTCTTAAATTGTAAAAATAGAAATTAAAAATATTAATAAGTACTTATAATATTTCATATTTTGGTAACATAGATTATATTACTAAAAATGCACTCAAGAATATGATAGGATTTAGTCATATGGAGAATGACAAATGACATACAAGTGAATAATCTTGAATTTTCGAAAGACAACTAAAAAGAAAATATTTCTGCGCACTTTAGAGACTTCAAATTGAGTGAAACCCTGTGACATTTTTGATGATTACACCATGAACTAACATTTTAGAATTTTTGTGCTTGGTTGTTTGTTAGGCAGGTTATTCATAGTGAATTCATTGGGGGTAATAAGACATGGTTACCACCTGAGACCATGAATTATTAACCAGTAGGCGGTCCCACAAGAGACATAGTGTGATAGGGTCTGTGAGACAACGTATTCACTGCAGACACACTGCATTAATGCATATTAAAAATTCTTAAACACAGCCCATCATGAGTCTGAGTTTTAACCTAATTGTGTTGAATTTTAGACCAACATTCCATATTAGTTATCTCTTTATTCTTCTTACAGATGAGACTTCTTTATAATTATTAAGATCTATTATATTTTTTTTGAAAATTAATATACTTGGGTACTTTTTTTTCCTGTAATGCCTTTTGTGCTATTGGTATGTTGTACTGTAAACCGCTTTAAATTTTTGTAATATTTGCGTTCTCTATGAAATATCAAATTAACAAAATTGATAGAAACTGCAAAAATACAATTTTTTTTTTCGTTGCTTTCCAAACTTGGCAGTTTTTTCTGGTCCTCTGAAATACTTGTATTTTAGTTTAGTAAAATGGTTTCTTTCAATATTATAGTGTGTCTGTTCCATCCGTAGAACTGGTATTTCTAGTGACTTAAGCAAACGTCTAGTTTATGAATATGCAAATAAAGTATTCAAAGATATCATCCTTTTTTTTCCAGAAAATTGTTCACTGAGACTCTGGTTGATGATAGTATTGGGAATTCTATTCTATTCTATGCTAGCTTTCATTGCTCAGTGGCATAGGTGCATTGTCACATCCTTCGAAAAATGTTTGGTCTTAAAAAGCTGAAATGTATGATTTAAACATCATTTCCTTGGTTGAATTAATCAACATCCTTTCTGATCATGCTGATGTGCATAATTTCAAAAAAATAAGTCATCGTTTCCTTGGTTGAATTTGAGTGTTAAGAGAAACTCTGATCGTAGTCAATGAGTATCTTGCAGGCTTTGCCTTTTGAAAATTGCTTGAGACTGAAAAATAACTGATATAAAAAGCACTGAGACGTTATGGGAGAGATTTCAATGTATTGAAAACAAATTTTGCATGTGTTTGCAGCAAGTTATTTTTTAGCTTCCCTTGGTGAAATTTTGCTAGATCAAATTCTTTGCCTTAAAAGGAAAAGCTGATCTTTTGAGGTAGTAAACAAACCTATCCCCAAAAATATTAATAAAAGTAGATATTTATATTTTATTTGCACTTGAATATCATAAATGTATGACACAAAATGGGAAATGGCAGGTGCTGAATAGTTATGAGACGCAAGCTTTAGTCAATTGCATGAACTATTTCCTGTCTAAATTAGCTCGTAATTCAGTCTGAAAAAAAAGACAGAATTTCATTCATATAACAATTAAAATAGCTCTGCCGCATTCGGATTACACCTCCTTCCGATCTCCATGTTAGATTTGTTTGGTCATTTTTACAGAACACGAAACAAGACATTGCAAATGACAGAATTAATGTTAATGTAAATCGCTTTTGTACGTGATGGTTGAGCTAGAAAGGGGGGGGGGTCATTATTATTATTCATGATGGTTGGTCATCTGTGTTGAATGATTGATTGGTGACTGTCAAATGGGTGTTTAGTTTTGTATCAACTAGCTTGTAAATTAAAATATTTTTATTTTGTTAGGACACGGTTTTAATAAATTAAATGTATTGCATGGATTACTATGGTTCACTGAAATCCTAATGTCATGCAACTTTATTTTCTCTAGAAGCGTATTTTCTATCAAATGCACAAATAAACAACAAAATCACATTTGTTGTACACCGAATCATTACTTATTTTGACCATAGAAATATGCAAAAGTAATAGAGCAAATATGGTATTTTTGTCATTTATAAGCGACTGCCTTATGCACTGTTAAATAAAACCACATTCCATATGTGGATAAACTTGTGTTGTGCAGTGTTTCTCATAAAATGAAAATAAATACATCACATATGAATACTGTAGAATACTTTATTTTCGCTTGGAATTTATTTTTTGCTAAAGGATGATTCCGTGAAAATAAAATCCAGTGAATATACGTTTTTTCCCCTATATTTCACATTAAACTCATCAAAAATCAGTGAAAATAATTTCCATATAAAACGCTCAAAATACCTTTTCAGCGAAAATGAATTCCAGCGAAAATAAAGTATTCCACAGTAATTTCCCTCTCCCTCTTTATATAAAATTATCCCTCTACATCCCGGGGCTTGACTGTCATCTTTCATTATACCTATAACTAATATTACAAATATTTTATATTGCTCTATATTGTATTGTCCTACTCTGATGGCTATACTAGACACAAATGCTGGTATGATCAGTTAGATATAGTCATGAGGGTTATGCAAACTTGGTGATATGTGTACAGATCTCACTAATAATAAGACA